GACAACGCCCGTCCTCACCGTGCAAACATCGTAAGCAAATGCCTTCAATCGGAGGATATCACCCGTATGGACTGGCCAGCATTCTCACCGGACTTGAATCCAGTAGAGCACGTGTGTAGGGACATGCTTGGCCGACGAGTTGCAGCTACCGTCAACCTCCTCCTACATGTCTACCGGAAACTTCGGAGAGCATTGCTTTTTGAGTGGTGTAATATCCCACAAGATTAGATTGATAATTTGATACTCAGCATGCCTAGGCGTTGTACGGACTGTATTGCATCGTCTGGGAGACATACAATGTATTGACAATCATACCAACCATGTAATATTGGTTTTTTGTAAATAGTTTTTTTTTTATATTTGCTCCAGGGAGAAAAAATCACTAATTTTTTTAATAATATCAAACATATAGCATCTTTTTTTGCTCTTTACCCTTTGTTTAGTAAATAAGCTTTACAAATAAGTCAAATTTGTTTTGCTTCTAACTCTTCCTTTGCCTGATTTTGCATTTTCCTTAATTTATGGACATGAGTGTATATCAAAAATATAATTCAGTCCTATCTTAGAGGTTTGTTATGCTATGCCATCCTAACAAACAGACATTCCCTTAAGTAGTTTACAGGCTCTCATTAATTATGGATTGGGTGAATAATATTTTGGACATTTAAAGGTTACATACAAGTTTATTTGGGATAATTAACATTTTTAATTAATTTTTCTATGGATTTTAGCACTGCCACAAGATTTTTCTCCTTCACAAAGAAGTTACAGACAGTTTGTTTTCCAACCAGACGACCATCAGTATCGAAGTAATCATCAATCAAAACAGTTTTAATGTAGTTGTTTAATCATGCCAAATCAAAAAATGTTGCACCAAATAGTTTATCTTCGCAATCTTATTATTGTGATAATATATTTAATATAGCCATTTCGAGATGAAAAAATGTGATTTTTCTCGGCATAAAAAGCATCACTTAGTCTATTCATATAAATTGTTGCAAATACAAATTTATAAGCTACAGCTAACAATGATAAAAAATTTATATTTAATGTAAAAAAAAAATTGCTGTTGAACTCTTCACAAGGGAAAAAGAAAATTGATAGCACTTCAAAAATCTATAAAATAATCCTTTCCTGGGTTTGAGTGCTCCATTTATCTTAGGACAATTTTCATTTCTAAATTAACAAGGAAATTTTGACAAGCACATATTTCATGTGCTCTCACAAGATGCCACCAAAGTTTCATTAAGTATTTTAAAAATTCTTGATATCCATGTTTAAAAACATTAACTGGACTAAAACATACTGCAGTAGAAGACCTACAAATGGAAGAAGCTACAATCGAATTCTATTTCCATATTATTAAACTTCCAGAAACTATGAAATTCTAAACAGCATTTTATAATATTTAACGAATATTGTAAATATACCATAAAAAATCTGGCACACAGAGTATTTGGAATTTTTATAAAAATATCACCTAGGTCTTTCATACACCATATAAAAGCTATTTTTTTTTTTACAAAATATGGATTATAAATAACACTCATTAGATATTATTAAAATGCATATATAAATCTCAACTGTCCAATTTTTCATGAGAGTAAAAATAATATAAAAAATATATAGAGCGCTTGGAATTGATTTTGCACACAATTCATGGACCAACTTCAATATCAATTGTCAAGAAGTCTGATTATTATATTAAATCAATTAAAAAAGCAATGTATAATTTTAATTTAAATATAAATTTAAGATGCACTACAATGAATAAATGTCTCTAAGAATGTTGCTTTCCCATAGTAGCATAGATGATAAACTAAAGATCTCACAGCAAGTGTTGCCATGCCATGAGCTTTGGATTCTGGCAGCATAATGGAGTGTAACAGCTAGAAAGCGTAGGAAGATTACAATATGAATATTCCCGCGAACGGGCTGGCTGCAAGGGCGTTTTCGTGGTTTTTCCCATGTGTGACGTGTATACGAGCCAGTTTCCCTTAGAAAGTCCTCCACGAAGGCATCCCTTCCCTTAGGCAGAGAGCCCTAGTGTGCTTTTCCATAATTAAAGAAACCAAACAATATAAATATTTCTGATGATAACATTTTTTACCTTTATTGCCTTTTCTATCCTCGTCAATGCTATTTATTTCTTTGGTTACTTTTAATGCAGCTGTTTAACTCCTATAATGTTTCTCTCAATTCTTACTTTGAGTATTGCTTGTATACTTTTTTATTTTTGTTTTCATGTGTACATGCATTAAAATAACATAACAATTTGTATAATGCATGTTTCAGTGGACCAAAAAAATTAAAATAAAAGTAGTGAAATTTCTTTACTTTTAATTTTTTCTTTTTTCTTCCAGTAATGAACGTCATGTGATTTATGTTCATGGAATGGTACTAAATAATCTTAGATTTTGGGAGGGATACAATCAGTTACACATTTAATGTTAAAAGACGTTGAGCGTAGGGAAGAAATATCAGATAAATTTCTCCAAACAGGAAAATGCTTGAAAAATGTTTCTTTTTATAGAATATGTGTATGCATTTAATAGTTAATAAAATATGAATCATTCCATAAAATGAATTAGCAAATTTTTACGAGAATTTTATTTTTGCAGAATGAAAGTCAATATTAAATTTGTCACACCAAACCAAAGATAAGAGGAAAATAATTTAAAATATAGCCTATTATGCCTCCTTTAAAAAAATCTACTCATTTACAATAATTTTTTTTAATTATTTTTTTGTGCATAAAGACCACAGCAGCTGATCTGTGCTTGCATGTACCACACATGTTTCAGGAATTAAATAACATGCTTCATTTAACTGTCATTTCGCAGAACAGTAGCTATCTCTTACAAGTAATAACAGACATAAAGGCTATTCTTTTTCATATTCAATTTCCTGTTTATTTAAGAACAGAACATTGCCTATCAGCCATAAAGTTAGTCACACAATTTTTGCCAATTTACAGTCGTCAACCAGTTGTAGGGATTAAGATAAAAAGCGTAAGATAAGGAAAATATTAAATAAAATAAATGCTTGTATAGCTTTGAAAGTTTCAATCTAATACAGAGAAGGGTTTTTACATTCATAAATCAAAGCTGCTAATGAAAATCAACTCTTTATTTTCCTCATACAAAAGTCCGATAATGTCCCTTATTTACCCATTATATAGATGAGATTTAAATTAATGTAATCAACAATTAATTAGCCAAAATCAGTCCCTGTGGATGGGTTGCCTGCTTATATGGATAAAACTATGCGAAATATTTGCATTAGACAAACTTTTGCACATTTACAAACGGAAATTTAACACAATTATGGTACACAGTATATTGAATGAAATTAGCCACTTTATGTTTAAGAAAAACTAATCTAAGTAAATATAGCACCACTAACACATATTTGTTAGCATTTCAAGCGATAGTAACATAAGCACGCGGTCTTCGAAGTGAGCAATTGCAAGCGCGTGGATGCAGTCCAACATGAGCATTTGTGAGCGCTTGGACCAAATCCCTTTTTCAATCTGTCATTCTGAAACCCGGGCGAAGAGCAAAAGTGAGGTTTGAGATCTAGACGCTTGTGCTCTACGCCAGCTGTCTGAATGACGCTCACATGATGCATGATTCACCAAGAATGTGATGCTTCCGAATTAGGCATGAAAATTGCTTTTTTGAAGATCACAGAATGAAATTCCAACTTTCCAGATTTTGACTAAAATATTTAAATTTCCTGGCTTTTTTGGTCCATTTTTCATACTCCCTGCCTTTTCCCAGCTTTCCAATGTCACAAAGCTTGAAGTGGTGATGAGGTGAGAGTGGTTGATTACGTTGTTGAACTGATGTTGATGAGGCTGCCTGCGATAACTTGTAGAAAATTATCAGTATGCAAACACTCAAAAGCTTGCTAAGTTAGACACTAGTGCTGTGTAACATTAGTCATGATATGCATTGCATAAACTTGACGTACGAGTTCAGTTGGTGGGTGATGCATGAGCTAACTCAGGGAGATAAGGACAGACATGTTTGGGCCTGCACTAATCTGCTCAAATATCAATGCAAGGTCAAAATTCTAGACCGGATAGTCACTTGTGAGGAAAAGTGGATTTTCTTCAACAACACAGGTCGAAAAGGATGTTGGTCTGTGCCTGGCGAGACTGCCGCAGCGCCACAGTGTGGCAATTTGGCTAACAAAAAGATCCATGCTTTGTATCTGTTGGCATTGCTGTGCTATTATGCATAAAGAGTATCTGGAAAAGGTAAAAACCTCAACAGGAAGATGTACAGTGAGATACCAGTCAATGTTGATGCTGTTATCAAAGAAAAACATCGAATTGAGTTCCAAGCTCAAAAAGGTAATGTCCATCAAGATAACACAAGACCACACATGTCTGCATTCCCTGGCTGGACTCGAATGGGATCTTTTGCCACACTCACCATATAACCCTTACATCGCTCCTTCAGGCTTCTTACATTTTTTCACACGTGCAGCTACATCTTGCTGGTTCTATCTTCCATTCTACGCAGGATGTCCGAAATGAGGTTGATCTCTTTTTGGACTCGCGGCCACCAAGTTTCTAGACTGAAGTTTGAAAAACTACCAAAGCATTGGCAGAAAATCATATATTTGGGTGGTGATTACTACCCGCACTAAAAGGTACTACTTTCACTTTTTTTTTTCCTAATTTTATTAAGAAAATTTTTTGGCAGAAAACGTTTGGTGCTACCAGATATAGAAAACGTTCGGTGCTACCAGATATATATCTGGTAGCACCGAAAGTTTTCTGCAAAAAAAATTTCTATATAGATATATATATATAAATAATATATATATATATTTATAAATATATATATATTATATCCGAAGAAATTGATGGAGCTACAAAACGGGATGGTTATTTTACAATTCTAATAAAGAAAATTCAATTTATTGTTGACTTTTTTAGAGAAATTTACTGGGTTAATGCCAGAAACATCTTTAAAAATTATTTCCAATTTTTTTTTTTTTTTTTTTTTTTTTTTTTTTTTACATTAAAACTTAACAATAGTTATTCAGAGCAGAGATGGTAAACAAAATTTTGTGTCAATTAAAATATTTGAGGAAAAAAGCTTAATATTAAAAAAATATAAATGACCATAATTTATTGATAGAAGCTAGATCAGTTAACAACCAAGAGAAAATTATTGGATTAGCATGACCATACAACTGCAGCTGATAAAAAAATTCTCTTGCATATTTATATTTTTATTACAATTAATAAACAAGTATTATTCCATTTTAAAGCTGACAAGAAAACATTTACACTGAAATGCTAGTGACAAAACAAAATTTTTACAAAAGATGAAATTTAACTACTTCTGAAAATAAGCTATTACACTACAAAAATATCCAAGATAAGCATCAACATTCATATGCATTTATCCATCATGTTACAAAATCAATCATGTACCTGGAAAAATATTTAACATGTTGAACACCACACTGGTCCCTAAGGAGAGGCCTTAGATCAAGAAAAATAGGCTTGGTATTTAACGAGTTAACCTAGTAAGATAAATGAGTAATTTTTAGTTCTGCAAGTGATATGCACAGTTACTGTTTCCAGTTTTCCTCTTTCACTTCATACTGATGTTCTCTACCTTCCCCCCCCCCCGTATGTGGAGTTAAGGAATTTTCAGATAACCTGTATTTAATTTGTTGCTGTACGAGTGTTAGAGCTTCAGGAAATATAAGTTTTACCTTTAGTTGTTTAGACAAATTCCTTCAGAGCACATGACATTTGCTTTAAAGAGGTAAGCTAATTTTAAAGCTGTTGTGAAACTTTAAAAGTAAACATTAGAGTCACAGTGTTAAGAAAGTTAGGAATAAAGTGCCAAATTACCTGGTATAATTAGCTTTCCTTTGGCTTCAATAATTCTTGAACCCCCAGGTGGAAAAATGTCTTTTCCCACTTGCCTGAAATATAAATTTTACAAATGTAACAGGAAACAGCTTATCCAGCATACACATATATGTGCTTGTGTGATATATATATATATATATATATGTAAGATAAAAATATATGAATCAAAATTATAGATTAAACTATAAACATTAATTCTTCCTCTCTATTCTAAAATCGTAATACTCTCTGCATTGCGTCATTTAGATCACTCTATGGCCCGCACAACTCTGATGATAATAATTAAGAACTGAAACTGTCTTGTAAACCAAAAACTTTTCTCTTTGCGTGCTTCCATCTTTCATAACGACGCACTTCAGTTTGCCCTCTACTCTGCGAAGATGTTGAATTTCGCTGGCTTGCTTTCCTTCTCAATTATATCAAAAAAATGTAATGTTCTTGATAGGCATAACTAGGAGTGCCAAGGTGATTGTGGCCACAAATATCAATTGGAAATAAAAATGGGAATTAAAATGCTTCGACTGCCAAGTTTTTAGATATACCAAGTTGCATTACTTAGATATACGCAATCAAAATCTTCTTCAATATGGTCTAATCAAGCATCTACAGTGTTCCGTCATTTCCTTTTGCTTTTATTATGACATATATATATATATATACACAAACATATTGAAATATATGATAAAAATTCAAAAATAAAAACAGATTTCATTAATTCTGCACCAAATGTTACTTTGATTTAAACAATGAAACATTGTTCTAACACTAGACTAAAACAACCTTCCAGATAATTTAGTTGATGTTTAAATGATCTTAAGACTTAGCTCAGTTTTCAGATGTTTTGTAAAATCTCCAAAACTGGGAACTGAGGGGGGGGGGAATATTATTGAAGCTTTTTAACCATTTAAAAGAAATATACATTTTAACTCTTATATAAATTAGAATATATCAAACAGAAGGTTGATGAAGGTTTGATGAACTGACATTTTTATCTTAAAGCAAAAGCACTATTCAAAAATAAGACTATCAAATAAAACAGAAAGAGCAAAACAGTAAAATATGCGACAGTTAATGTGATAAAAATTCATAATTTTGAAGAAATGAGGTTTGGTTTAGGTTACTTGATTATGGCAAAACATTTACAAAGTATTCTTAAATGTTCTTAAAAATTATTCAGTACAATATTAATAAATGAAATGAATACATTACTTTATTAGACCATCTTCAATATACACATCAGCAGTGAACATCAAGTCGTCATTGACGACTTTGCCACCTTTAATTAATAGTCTGCTATGCGAAGCCTAAACAAGACATGAGAAATACATAATTCATATGTTAAATTTTGTAAGTTTCACTGAATATATATATACATATGTATATATATATATATATATATATTATGTATATATATATACATACATATGTATATAGATATATATATACATATATTAGATAAAAATTTTGTGCACAAATAATTTTAATCTCAAATAACTGAAACTCTTTTCAACACCTTATACTTTAATGAAATAATTTTACATGTATATCACATGCGCTAAACCTAAACTAAAACGAAAATATACAAAACTGCTGTTTCAAAACAAATTAGGATTTATTCCACATCCGCTGTTCCTCAAAAACCTAAGAAAACGGATTAGTGCAAAATATAAATCCACAAATATTGTTAAATTTTCAATAAACACAATTTCAGATGCTTTTGAAACACTGAAAATTTTATTCATGAAAATGAGAACAGATTAAAAGCGCATTTAAAAGGACTTAAAAAAATTTACTCTATATGTTTGTTTTCTGTACAGGGCCATTAGAGCAATAAAACTATATAGATGAAAATAGTAAAAAGTGAAATGTAAGGCTTAACGTTACAACCACAATAATGTAAGGCTTAACGTTAATTTTTGCACCGTCAAGTTGAGCGATGAGAAAAGTGCGATAAACTACAGTAAAAAAAAAAAAAAAAAAAAGTAAATGCAAATAGCACTTTTAACTCTTTCCTTTTAAAATAAAAATCATAGAACTGGATAAAATTTCGAATATTAAAACTAATTTTTATTTACACTGTTTATTATCTTAGAACCAAAGTTCTCAAACTTTCTGTCTGCCCAAAGGCGCGTTTACACTAGCGGTAGTCTGAGCACAAGAAACGCGCACGATCTCGACGGCTCTGCTAAAGGGGGAAAGGTATTCACAGCCGCCCAACCGGTATAGTGGTTCGTCGCCGACTGCTGTGCCGAAGGGCCCGGGTTCAAATCCCGGACAAAGAATATGTCCCGGAGAAAGCATGGATGTTTGTAAATGTATGGCGTTGGTGCGGCACTTTAAATACGCGGCAAGCCGAAAGTCCTCTCGTGTGGTTTGGTGGAAGGGGAGAGGGGTAGGAGACCTTCGGACCCGTTCCCCCCCCCGGGGGTACTCTCCATCAAAATTGGGAGGGGGGTCGGAACTGAGCGAAATCGCACTCTCACCTGAATGGTACCTCAAGGCTAAAGGAATTTCGTGAGTTTGGGCTGACTACGTCAGACAAGTGCACATAAGCAACAACAACAAAGGTATTCACTGTTTTGAGATAAAATTGAGTAACTATAAATGTATTGCAGAAAGCAATGCTCAAAGTTCCGCTAGTGTACAGGCGAATGTAATGAAATGTTCCGCTAGTGTAACAGGCTTAATGTAAAGGAGTAGTTAGAGACTGGCTTTCCAGAAGACAGGCCGAACAGCAATTGAGTTTATAAAAATGAGCAATTTTGTTCCAATTATTATAGTACTTGTATGTACAATATCCGCCGCTTATTAAAAATTGTTCAAGCAATTCCGTTCCAAGCATTTTTTAGTTTATTAAGCGACTGAGTTTAATAGATGGCGATTTCAATGTTGCAAATAGCGGTACAAATTTTTTAACTTATTTAGCAATATAGCTACTAACAATTCATCTAATAAATAATACCTAATTTATAAATTAAAAATTAATGCTAAAATTAAACTATTCGCGTGATTTGGAAATTTTATTTTATTTTTTTTATATATAAATTTTTATTTATAAATTGTCAGGAATGTATGTCTTTTCACTTGCTTCGGGAACATACTGTATCCTGAATAACAGGAACTTACTAAAGCTCTGTTTCCCGATTGTGTGGATAGACGACACAAGCAGGAGGGTACAACTAAACGCTTTATTTCTCTATTACTTACAGGTACTCCCGTACTTCGTGATACAGAGACCAACCACTTGTGGTCTGAAGGTAAGAATATAAAAACTACTGACTAAGACTCTAACTAAAAGCTAATTTTGAATTAGTATACAAATGCCTAGCACTAAGACTGCCTTTTTTTTTTTAAAAAAGGTACACGCATGTAGTATGCCGAGCTGCTAAAACTACGATACGTCTGCAAATATCAAGAGGGCTAAACCTCTGGCCTTAAAGGCAAACAGCAACCGTGAGAACTCGTAAATTGCAGTGGCAAGCGGTTCGCTTCCTAAATCTCCTTCTCTCTTCTAACTCTTGGCGAAAAGCCCACACTTAAATACTTGGGTGTTAGCAAGACAATTTGCATAAACAAGTTAAAGCATTTAATTCTGGCCGGAAGTAGAAAATAAGAAGTGATAGTACAGTTTTAAAATAAACGTTAGTAAAACTTAAGATCCTTACAACGTACGGTATGAAATTTTACACTTTTACAAATAACTGCCGTATCCATATTTGTTTCGCAATGCTCGTCAACAATCGTATTTTCAAGTACATAAAACTGTTTGTAGCTTTTCTGATCTCCACCTTTCAATTTAAGATTTCTTGCAAAGAACATACATACTCTTTGGTTCTTCTTAAGGTCGTATTATTTTCAAAACATTCCGGAAGAACAGCTCTTTAGAACAAATATTCTTGCTTTGCCACACGATGTGAAACAGCCACGCGGATGATTTTACGGTTACCATGTAAAGGGAAAACTAGTTCTCCAATATCAATGATGGTTGATGATGTGGGATTCGATGCTGGTAGTTGATTGGTCGTCGAAAACTGTTTAAACAGTCACCTGAAATGTAAATGAACGTGTGATACCAGCTTTAGAGTTTGCAGTGCTTTTCTCGATTCAGCTGAGGCTGGCACATAATCACTTTCACTGTCATTTTCTGCAGCTCTTATCGTAGTCGGTGTTTTCACATGTCGTCTCTATATTATCATCAACTGCAACGTATTCTAAAAATGAATCTTTGTAATTTTCCTCACTGATGTCCGAAATATTAGAAACAACTTACAATTCCCCGTGGCTTCATTTAAATAAAACCCACATTTTCTAGAGCAATTACTGTGTTTTGGGAGACTACTTCTCATGCGTACTATAACATGCATAGCCTCTAGCAAATATATCGACTTAGTGATCTCCTTCAACGTACTTACATTTTCACAATATTAAGTTTTCAGATCTTTTCCTGAACGACACCTTACCTGCAATAACATTTGAAAGCACTTTTAATACCTCGGTCTAATGGCTGAATACCAGAGGACAAAGAAAGGAGACATTTCTTGATGTTTTCTCCGCAAATGTAATGTGCGCATGCATATCCATCTCCTATCAGCTGGAGTTAGAGAAAGGAAACCAGTGTTTACTTAACTAGCATCTATTCTTTAATCCTGCAAATCACTCACTTATTTACTACAAAGAACTTGTTATTTACTCATTTATTTACTACAAAGACTGCTTTTTTTAATCATAAGATTAATTCTGTCGCTCTCAGCTCTAGTCTAGACAGAGATTTACAAACGGAGTCTTATAAGGACTAGGGAAGGGTTAGCTAAAATTTCTGTTACCCATTTTATTGAAGTACTAACAGAAAGATGAATGAATGAATGAACTATAAAAAGTTTTTATCAGCCACAAATACTTTATTCCGGGTTTGAAGAACCAGTCTTTTGCCAATTTGATTTTTATAAGCGGCGGAGATGAGTTTAATAAACAGTCTTTTTTCTACTGATTAGCATATTCATTTTGGTTAATCGAAATTTGAACACAATAAATAGCTCAGTTTATTAACAGGAGGGTTTAGTAAGTGGCGTTCACTATAATGTACATATGCTCATTTTTACATTTGATCTGTTGTAAATAAACGGAAATCAAAAAGCTTAATCCAAATGTCATTATCCCCCATAGGGTTCTGTGCAGTGACTGCTGCCCACGTTGAGGCAGCAGCACGGAACGAGAGAAGCACGTCGGAAGCATAGCTCCTGGTAGGGCTCTTGGTGATAGGGTGTCAAAATCCTGGAGCCCCAGCAATCTCTCTTCCTTCTGCCGCCTCTCCTCTTAACTACAACTTTTCCCGTTTTCCTTCTCCCTTGTGATTTCCACTTCCGAGGTTCGGGCTCGTCATAACAAACTGTAACAGCCTTGTCCCTAGTGTCTTCGAGTGGCGAGAAAATTGCCCACGTGTTTCCCGTACGTGGAGTTCCCCTTCTTACTGGAAAGGCGGGTGCTGGTAGTTGAGGGGCGAGGTACTGTCTCCAACACACTGCTTTGGCCCTCTGCTTCAGTTAAACGGGAGGCACCTTGTCGTAAGCACGGGTGTCAATCAGCTGGTCGATAGTCATTGTGTCAGTGGCTTGGGGACAAGATCTCGGGATAGTTTGCGTATAGGTCCGGCTAGCCCTGGCGTAGGAATCTGCGTCCACTTGTTGGGCTCCATGAAGGGTGTGGCGGTCGGAACCGAATCTTTCTCCATTTAAATATGAACGCAAATGATACCTTTTTGCTCCAACAATGTAGCCCACACTCCGATTGTGACCAAAGACTAAGAAGCGACACAGAAAGCACTGTATCAGATGTACTTTGTCCCCGTTTCTTAATTATAACCAGCTCAGAAGAATTGAATCTACTCCCTTTCTAATAAATCCCTTTGTCTTCTGCACAAGACTTCGGTCTGTTGGCCTTTTGATAGAAACTGTGTCCGGAAAAGCAGTCTAATAGTCTTTTGAAACTAACTAAATTAGGACAAGCAAACATTCCAGTTAAGCCACATAACACTCTAAATTCGTTCCGAGGAGTAATCTCTGAAATACTTACTGTTAGTAATTGAAAGGGAAATTGATAAAGAGTTCGTAGATGAAAACGCGTGTGGTGCTCGTAGGATCAAAATACGGAAAGAAGGTCAACTCATGCAACCATAGCAACTTACTTTCAAGTCTCCTAACCTGCCTAAAACATAAAGCTGGATCCTAAAATTTCAGTCAGGCCAAATATACGGAATCCAAGGCGTTGATTTCAATGTCAGCGCTTTGAACATGGAAGGCCTCTTTCG